AAGGATAAATTGACTATATGGTATCTGAAGCAACCAAATGACAAAGTTAATGCCCTCAACATAGTGCTGTATTTTGCTGCACACTTCACCAAAGAGTTGCTGGAGATCATAAACTACATAGAAAGCCTCTGTGACATTGGCATCTTGGTTTTATGGAGACAGAAGCTAACAAACTCTGTTAGGACAGGGCGGCGACTCCTGGCAACCGCAGGTCACTGGGGAAAAATAGTTATTATACCCTAACTTGCTGGTGCGACCCCTACATGTTAGCAAACACTCACCAGAAACTCGCTGAACAGTAGTGAAACTGTGTGCTGCAAAGTAGAAAGACAGTCTGTTTGTCTTCAAAGTAGATGTTTGAAACATCTTAGTTTTACTTTTACTCTAAAAGTGAACTTTATTTAATTCCAGTTTGCACCTGACTTTTTCAGGTTTCACCTCTGCTCGGCAAGTATTTGGTGACTATCTCCAAGTTGCCGTCTTCCATGCAAGCGACAGGCAACTGGGCCAAGTGACCAAAGTGAACTTGGTGCAGCACCCTCTTTGGACTGTTTCTAGGCCTGTGTGAACGAGACCTTAGCAAGCTGAATCTTTAGACTGTATAGATGTAATATAGTTCACTTTAATTTATATAGTGTCATATCACAACAACAGTTGCCTCAAGGTGCTGTATATTGTACAGACGCTACAATAATACAAACAAACTAGAGAAAACCCCAACAATCAGACATCCAACTATGAACAAGCACTTTGGCAACAGTAGGAAGGAAAATATCCTTTTTAACAGGAAGAAGCCTCCAACAGAACCAGCTAATCTCATGCATATTACAGTAACTGAATTAACAGATGGGATTATTTTAGGGAAAACAGAAATTCCAAAGGTAGCTTAAACTCCAAATTTCATTCTACTTCCAAACATGTTAGGCTTCCTTCTCATTCCACCGCAAAGCTTCCCTTTGGATTTGGCGTTATGGTTACGACCAGAGTGATCATAAAGCAGTCAGCTCAGCCGTATGCTGCAATAAGTTACAGCTCTTTCGGTGTTACCTATGCAGATTGTCCTTTATCAGGGGGACATTCTGTAATTGAAATACCAGGAGATCCCAGAGGCCCTGATGTGCTGCAACACTGACAGGATAGAACATAAATACAAATTTGTGTAGACGTTGATATAAACCACATGCCGTTAAACTATGACAAAGTGGCACAGTGGCTAATTTACATATAAACATTGGAAAACATATTGAATCTGATCAGATTGCCGGATTCCCGTGCATGGGCGGCTGGTTCAAATTTCCCTCTGAGGAGCAGGAAGTGGCTTTGTGCATGGCCCACACTACACTGACATGTTGGAATGCCACTTCAATGTTATTCGCAGCTGCGCTGGGAACCCGGCAATGTCCCCTTTCACATCAGTGGCCCCTACCAAGCATGTAAGCGTGGACCCCGAGAGGGACACAAGAGCGGAACATACGGTAAAGATTTCAACTTCCACAAATCACATGCAATTGTGCCGTTTGCGCTGAAGTCAGCTTCTCTGAGTCCACGGGAGATCGAGTTAAGGAGGTTTAGCTGAACGGGATGTAATGCAGGAAAGAAAACAGGGACTGTGTCAGCTCTTTGTCTACTCAGATATACAATATACTGTAGTGATAATTTGCGGTTACTCTCTTGGTGCTGTTTTGTAGATTTACATGCAGACTGATAGTATTTCAGATTTAATCGAAGAGCTCTTTTCCTATTTTGAAAGTAGAAAAAAAAACAAGACTGGGCTTCCTGCCAAGACTTTATTGTAAAGATTAAATTAATTTCATTGAGTTATGGTCAGTAATTTCCTGATATGGATTGCTTTCCATCTCATCTCTGTCCATCTCCCCCCTGGCTGTTGCAAAGAATCGATGGCTGTCTAGAGGGAGCGAGGGGCAAACCATTTCTTGTGGCAATTTTTTTTCCCCGCTCTTCTTTAGGTAAGGGGATGTGACAGTCAAACAAAACCTACACAAACAGACCTTGTGTTTTCACCCTATGTTTGTATGCAGTGCCACAGCCAGGCGTCCTGCCAAGCTCTTACCCCCCCACCCCCACCCCCCCTGCCAAAAAAAGACAAACCAAAGCAACCGCAGGCACCACTGCCTTCATCCACCCCTGTCCCCCCTCTTTTTTCTTCAGAGTGCTGGCAAACACAAAAGGAGGCAAAGAAGCAGAGCCTGGGTGCAAGTCCCCATGAATGTGCAGAGATTAAGCCGAGGCGGTGATGAAGTCGGCCGGAGAGAGGTGAAGGATGAGGAGGAGGATTTGAGGAGAGGAATAGGAGTGGTTGTTATTCCGCGGACAAGATTCAGTGCCCTTTGCCATTGAGCCAGCGCCAGCTGGGACGAGGAGTGGCATCCTACGCTTTCTTGCTTTCTGATTTTCTCTCCGCTGCTCATGTTTTCAATGAGAGCATTGTATGAGCCGGAGGAAGGATATGAGGTCCCATTTGGCTGTCATTGACATGTAAAAAGAGTGTGGCGGTGACAGCTGATGGGATCAGTGGCCTGTAATTATCTGAGACTAGACTCTCACTCCTCCATGTCAAACACACACACATGCAAAAATGTAGGAGTGTCCACATATGAAGATGTAAAGGCGAGATTAAAAATGATGAACAGGACCAAACGGCAGAGGCTTGTCTGCCCTTAGGTAATTTTATGAGTTATCTATTAGCCTACGTGTGAGGTTTCGCCCTGACGCGAAGCTTGGGTGCTATAAATCTAAAGGCGTTAACCATGTGGTCTGGCCCGGGGTGGCCCAGATATGTTTAAGAAATAGAAATAAATGCCACAGGGCTCAGGGGAGAACGTTTGACGCAAAACTGAGATGTTTATCCACAGGAGACACAGGTGTGACAAACCAACTGTGAAGAACAGCCGTTACACCACATGAGTCACATCTGGAAAATAGTGTGATGTGGTGCGGAGTGCCTTAATGTGCTTTTGGTTTTGTTTTGGGATTTTTTTTTAATCGATATCATCCAGAAAGTACAACATTAACGAACATTAGCCGCCTCCATCATCACTGCTTGCTGACTGATTTCCATTTTAGTGGTCTTGGTTTTGCATAGTTTAGAAATATAGACTGTTTAAACCATTACCTGTGTATAATATTAAGGATTTTTGCTCTTCTTTAAATAAAGTAATAGCTGA